TTTGTCTTTTTGAGACAGGGTCTCCCTGTAGCCCCAGCTGTCCTGGAACTCACTATGTACATCAGGCTGGCCTTGAACTCAGAGATCCACCTGCCTCTGCCTCCCAAGTGCTGGGACTACAGGCGGGAGTCACCAGGCCCGCTCCACTTTGGCTTTTTAAGAGTCTTTATAGACAATCACACTGACATCTATAGTTAAAGCGATCTTGTCAGCACCTTTCCATTTAATCTGGTTCCTATGTACAAAATACAGTGTAGGCACTGTGATAGGGAGATTGGAGCTATATTTCTTTAAGCTAGATAACATGGTAGGTCACAACTTTAAGAATAGTCAACAGAAAGCTATGACTATTGTCTAAAAACTCTGACATTCTGATAAGCCTGGAATTGCCAAAAATGCTTACCACACAGTGAGAGGATAATTCCTTCATCTATCAAAACTTGGAGGTTTTTAATCAGTTAATAAACCCTGAGGCCACAAAGCCTTTTGTAAAGATTAAATGAGATAGGCCAGTGTGTAACCTGGGCAACACAGTGAGCTCAAGGCCAGACTGGGCTACACAGGGAAACCCTACCTTATAAAAACCACACAAGCTGGGTGTGGTGGCACACACCTGTGGTCCCAGCACCTGGGAAGCAGGCAGGCGGATCTCTGTGAGTTCAAGGCCAGCCTGGGGTACATAGTGAGTAGGACAGCTGTACCTACAAGGAGACCCTGTCAAAACAAAACAAAACAAAACAAAACAAAACAAAACAACAAAAAGATACGTCTGAATATATGATGACAAAGAATATTCATGCACCATAGTCCCTTAAAATGGTATTTTTCAAGCTTTATGTATGGCTCATTGATATGCAATATATAGACTTAAAAATAACTCTCTTGGGAATTGGAGAGATGGCTCAGAGGTTAAGAGCACTGGCTACTCTTGCAGAGGACCTGGGTTCAAGAGCACCCACATGGCAGTTAGCAACTGCCTGTATCTCCAGTTCCAAGGAATCTGCTGCCCTCTTCTGACCTCCATGGGCATTGCATAATACAGATGCATTTACATATATGCCAGCAATACACTCATAAACATAAAATAAAAATAGTAAATATTTTTAAAAAAATAATTACCTCCAGTTTTTGTGGTCATTTCATTTGAGAACATTTTACGCATTTTTTTTCAGAAATCATGTGCTAAGGAATGCACAGTTCTGTGGCAGATATATATTCATATATTTTTTCTGCTAGATAACTCTCCTTCCTTTTCTTACAAGATATAATATTCATGTCCAATTAAATTTTTTTATTTTTATTTTGTTTGTGTGTGTGTATTGCCTGCATGTATGTAAGTGTACCCATGTTGTGCAATGCTCTTGGAGGACAGAAGAGGAGGTCAAATCCCCTGGAACAGGAGTTATGGAAAGTTGCTAGTTGCCATGTGGGTGCTGGGATTTGAACCTGGCTCTTCTGCAAGAATAGCTAGTATTCTTAACCACTGAGCCATCTCTCTAGCCCCCTCATGTTTAATTTTTTTAATCAAATTAAATAATGAGCTATAGTATTTGAGGTGTGGTAGCGCACAGAGAACATAGAGATTATT